AAGATGCTACCAGTAAAGAAATACTTTGTGATGATCCAGAAGCAGCAGAAAGAGTGTTTCTGGAATGAGAACTCTGGAGGAAAAAGCTACTTGCACAATCATTCTGGTCCTCATGATTACATTCCATAAAGTATATATTAATGTCTTTAGGGCACCTCTAACATGTGGGGATGTTTTTGTCATCCTTGTAGCATTTGGAAAAGAATATTATTTCTCTCAATATTTGCAAATTGCAGCTTTTCTCTCAGCAGAAATTGCACTGTGGAAAGGTTTCTAAACTCTAGATGTTGGTCTCAACATTTTACTGAGAAGGAAAAGAAAAAACAATTTACTGACCAGACTAAAGGTAAACATTTTACTGAGAAGGAAAAGAAAAAACAATTTACTTAGCAGACTAAAGGTAAACATTATGCTGTGATGGTGGGAAAACATTAATAGGAATCATTTAAAAGTAATAATGATAAACTAATTTCTCAGACAAATTTATCCTCTCACCTGTCAATTAAGGCCTAAGAGGACAGAAACTATCATCTACTGTATCCCAACAATCACCCAGCCATAGGTGGTACAAGAGGGAACCCACAAGCAAGCTAAACTGGAGCCTTTCCCCTGCAGTGTCTCCTAGTGGAAGATTTGCATATTTCTCTTGTTTGAGAACTGCATTAAGAAGTACAGTGTTACTTGAATTGTGTTCCGAGATTGGCTTGTCTTCAGCTGAGAAAATTTACAATAATTTAAGACTTTACATAAAGTCTTAGACATCTTTCATTAAGGTCTTGATAGTATATAGTTTAAATACCATGTCATAGATATATTATGTATCATTGTAAAAGCACATATTCAACACTTTCCGATTTTCAAGAAAAAAACAAAAAAAGGCTTTGAAAAAAAACAGCTTTTTCCCCAATTTTTCAGGGTTTTTTTTCAGGTCTTAAGACCTCTACTCTTGACTTCTGCCTGCCTGCTTTGACCTTGGCTTGTACTCTGACTCTGCTCCTGGCTTGCGCTCCTGTACCTAGCTGCCTGGCTGTGTACCAATCCCTGTTTTCCCTCTAGGATTCTCCTTATCCCCTCTGAAGACAGGTGTATATAGAGCTGGATGGAAGTTAGTTGGTGGGTTGGAGTAGTGAGTGGTGTACTGCAAACAAGAAAGTATGGTGTACATGTTCTTGCTCCCGTGGAAAAGCCTTGGGCCTTCAGTGCCATTTTGTAGCAGCATATTGTATCAGCCTTGCCCTGAAGGGAGTGCTACAGAATCCTTATCCATAATTTCACTAAGCGTAAGGAGAATTATAACTTTGTTGATGTTTAAAAGGTAAGAGATGGACACCGCTGTTTAGCAACTGATTGCGACTGATGCTCTGTTATGCTTCCAATTATGTTTCAGTAAAGCACCAGAAAACAGAATACCTTGTAGTCATTTCTTCTTTATGTCTTTGCAATTATGGTCTATACCATTAGGAGTGAGTGTGGCAGGCGTACACCCAGAGATGGACGTAGTTCTACCATTTTGGCTTCAACCTCCATCTTGGCAAAGGGGTTAACCATCCTGACAAACATATTTCCCCCTCATTCTCCCCCTTCCCTCTCTGGGAGGCACAGTGACATTTGGCCAGTGTGTGTGTGTGTTAGGAGTGTCACAGGAGGCCAGAGCCCAGCTGGGGGCTAGGAGCTGGGGCCTCGCTGTCCAAAGAACCTGTGCCATTTAACACCTTGTAAAAAGATAACGTAGCCTTCCCAGGAGTTCAAAAGACATTGAACCAGATAACCTTTTTAAAAATCAATTTTTCCCCTATGTCTCCTATCTTAGAATATGAGAGACTTGCATAAAAACCAAGCATTTATCGTCAGATTGGCCAAGAGGAGACAAACATTTTGATAGGTCACTCTCCATGGTTGGAATACATAGAAAAGCAGAAAAGTAGATCTCGGGAACCATTTAGTGTAGAATTTCATATTTAATATCTAATCAATCCTCCGACGTGTCCACATATAAATCTACTCGCGGGTGGAGTGTCACTTATGCATATGAAAATGTATTAGCTAAAGTATGAACTAGAAGAGATTTTGGCTCTAGTTTAGGCCTACGCCCAGACGATCCCTCCCTAAACAGGGTATTGGTCCTTGACTTTCAGAGACACCCCCTGCTGGTGAACTAGAAATTGGGTTGTCAGGCCTAAGAAAAGTGGTTGAAGAATTCTCCCATTGACCATGGAAACAGGGAGATCAAAGCACCCTTCTGCTCTGAAACTTGATCTGCCTAAATCCAGGGCTTAATGGCAAGTACTTTAACCTTTAACCTCCTTCTGTTACCTCTTTGCTGTGCTGTTGTTCTCTGTATATTTATATATATATTGGTTACATCTTTTTTTGTAAATATTTTTATTGCACCCGTTTGACCTTTTAGTAATAAATCTTTCCTTCTGAAAGTGTTGAACTGTTTCTATAGCTCTTTATTGCAATTTACGAATTCCTGCCTCTAAAAAGAGCGCTACTGTGTTTGTTTAACCCTCTGTATAACCGGCCTGTGGTGACCATGTTAATACAGGCGATTACCTCAACCATTATAGTGTTATAACTGATATTGCCGCGTTTCCTCTTTCTCTGTACAAAAAGGAGGTGGTGGCAGTGTGAAGGGTTAATTGCGTAATTAACCTGACCCAGTAACAATCGCTCAGGCTGCTGGTACATAGATTGTGGTCCAATTAGCTGGAAAATCGTTGTGCAGGGTGCAGCTGTGTGTGGCATTGTTATGCATGTGACATCGCAGTTTTAAATTAGCTAGTCCTTCGGTCACGAGTTTGGTGAGAAGGGCTGGGGTCTGACACCGCAGTCATCACATATTGGTGACAGCGATCGTGGGATCATCACATATTGGTGGCAGCGATCTTGCATCTGTCACAGTGAGTAAGGACTGGTCTAGGACAGGAATAGGGGCTAGAATAGTTTGGAAGAAGGGTCAGTCTACCAGACAGAATAGCCAAGACCCTAGTAACCATGCTGAGCCCCTAGCCTTTTCATCTAGGTGTGTAGCGTGACCCTAATTATACCCAACCAGGAACTAAAGGATGGTTATTCAATGTAACTCTCTTTGGAAGTGTGAGAGCATGTTTGCCCCTGAAGTAGGCCTACAGCCTGGAAGTATGAACCTTCATGGAGTCTCAGAGAGAGAAGTATGTCACAAGCATACGAAGGCACTCCAAGACAGGTCCACAGCTTTGTTCAGAGATCACATCATTCAAAAAAAGCGATGTTTCGGAGCCTCACAGCACCCCTTCATCAGGCAAGGGACCTGCAATGGGTAGCCGACAGGGGTCCAGGAGTCAAGCAAAATAATCCCCACAAACGCGTTGCTGAAGGTGGATGTAAATGTATGTGGGTGCTACAGTGATCACTGGCTGAAAACCAAAGACATGTATATGTCTCCACCACACCAAAGATCTCCAGAACAGGTTCAAAGCTTTAGTCAGCAATCACGTAATAGTTACAAAAGCGACATTTCAGAGTCTTGCAGGGCCCTTTCATCTGGCATGTGATGGGCAGCTTATTAATGGAGTCTCAAACACATTGCTGGAGAGTCCTGTAGAACCCTCACATGCCCCCTACCCTGAGAACTGGCTTAAGAACCCTCCACCAGAGGCGCTACAAGCATGTACTTCATTAGAATTGTCAAAGCTAAAGGTGAGCACACAAAGGCTAGACCACGCAACCGTATTTCAGAGTCACATTCAGGGGCGGACTGACCATTTGGAAACTCGGGCACTGCCCGAGGGCCTGGGGTCAGTAGGGGGACCCATGAGATGCCCCTGGTACCTTTTTCATAGGCTTTTTTGAAAAAGGGCAAGGACACAGGGGCCCCATGATCCCCTATTGCCCGGGGGCCCCATGAGTTGTCAGTCCGCCCCTGGTCACATTGCTTGATATGTAACTATTTTGCCTTACATGCATATGGAATTTTAGTTGTCTCATAGTTTACAGGCAGTCACAGCAATTGCAATTCCAATTCGGTCAGAAGAAAAAGAAGGAAGGAGTGACCCCCTGATAAAATCACTGCTATACTGAGGGCACTGCCCAATTACACTGACGTTTTGTGTAGTAAATGTTGCAAATGCACTTCCCTTTATTTTTTTTTTAATGTTTATGTCCAATTAACTTTTGAGATAGAGTGTAGAAGGATAAAAACTGCTTTCAGGTTTTTACGTCTATCTGGGCCTATGTTAGGACTAGTTTATACTAGTGGTTGGGAGGCGGTAACACCACGTAATTGTCTTTGTAGAATGCACATACTTTTGCACTTTTGTAAATTAATCTTCGTGCCTCTCCTTGAACATCTACAAACATTTCAGCAGTCTGAATGGAGAATGTCAGAGGCTTTCTTGTAGTTACTATATAAAAAATGTACAAAGTTTTTTGTTGCTGCCACCAAGTATGTCAGGTGCAGGTTGGGTTTACAAAACATATGAAGAAAACCCCATTGAAATGTCAACTCTGTGAAGCTAGCATATCCCTAATGCCAGAATATTACATCAAAACACATCCACAAATCAAAGACTTGCTCCTGGACACATTCTTTAAAGGTCACAGTCCTGCTGTATAGAGAATTCAGAGTATACCCTACTACAATTGGACTCCACCAAATAAACATGGCCATAATAACTTACATACTTCATATTTTGGTTATTCTTTTATTTTTTTTTATGCTCTAGAGCACTTCAGGGAGATGTGGCTATTTGAAAAAAAAAATTATATATATATATATATATATATATATATACATATATATACACATACACACACACACACACACACACACTATATTGCCAAAAGTATTGGGCCACCCCTCCAAATCATTGGATTCAGGTGTTACAATCACCTCCATGTACACAGGTGTATAAAATCAAGCAGCTAGGGATGCAGACTGCTTCTAAAAACATATGAGAAAGAATAGAGCCGTTCTCAAGAGCTCAGTAAATTCAAGCGTGATAGGTTGCCACCAATGCAATAAGTCCATTCATGACATTTCCTGGCTACTAAATATTCCATGGTCAACTGTTAGTGGTATTATCACAAAGTGGAAGCAACTGGGAACAACAGCAACTCAGCCCGAAGTGGCAGGTCACGGTTCAGTGCATGCTGTGCACACAGTGCACAGAAGTCGCCAACTGTCTGCAGAGTCAATAGCTAAAGACCTCCAAACTTCATGTGGCCTTCAGATTAGCACAACAGTGTGTACAGAGCTTCATGGAATGGGTTTCCATGGCCGAGCAGCTGCATCCAAGCCTTACATCACCAAGTGCAATGCAAAACGTTGAATACAGTGGGGTAAAGCACGCTGCCACTGGACTCTAGAGCAATGGAGACTTGTTTTCTGGAGTGAACAATCACACTTCTCTGTCTCGCAATCCGATGGACGTGTCTGGGTTTGGCGTTTGCTAGGAGAACGGTTCTTGCCTGACTGCATTGTGCCAAGTGTAAAGTTTGGTATAGGGGGGATTATGGTGTGGGGTTGTTTTTCAGGGGTTGGGCTTGGCCCTTTATTTCCAGTTAAGGAAACTCTTAAGGCGTCAGCATACCAAGACATTTTGGACAATTTCATGCTCCCAACTTTGTGGGAACAGTTTTGGGGATGGCCCCTTCCTGCTCCAACATGACTGCGCACTAGTGCACAAAGCAAGGTCCATAAAGACTTGGATGAGTGCATTTGGGGTGGAGGAACTTGACTGGCCTGCACAGAGTTCTACTGTATTCCTGACCTCAACCCGATGGACACCTTTGGGATTAATTAGAGCAGAGACTGTGAGCCAGGCCTTCTCATCCGACATCAGTACCTGACCCCACAAATGTGCTTCTGGAAGAATGGTCAAACCTTCCATAGACACCCTCCTAAACCTTGTGGACAGCCTTCCCAGAAGACTTGAAGCTGTTATAGCTGCAAAGGGCGGGCCAACTCAATACTGAACCCTATGGACTAAGACTGGGATGCCATTAAAGTTCATGTGCGTGTAAAGGCAGGCGGCCCAATACTTTTAGCAATAGAGTATATATATATATATATATATATATATATATATATATATATATATATATATATATATATATATATATATATATAACACACACACAGAGATACATAGTAATAATTCTTAAATGCACACATAGCTCCCAAAAAGGATGATGCAGAACTGGTGGAGAGGGTGCAGTTAAAGGAAACTAATGAAGTAAGGGGTATAGAGGACTTCAGCTATGAGAAAAGATTATTTGAACTAAATATTTTCTACTTTCAAAAGGTGCCATAAGTCGGAAATTGTATCATCTTGTATAAATGCATACAGTAAATGGTCTATATAGCAAATTTGTTGCACACTTGTTGACTTTGAGTTCACTGCAAATGACAGTTGGCCATTTTTTGCCCCTGGGAGTAAAGAAGTTTAAGCTCTGCATACAGAATGGGGATGATTTGCTGAACCTGGAGAGTGAAAAATCTGGTGCATCTGTGTATGGTAGCCAATTGGCTTCAAACTTCATCTTGTTCATTTAAGCTTTAACAATAAACCCTGGAAGCTGATTGGTTTCAATGCTGATCTGTGCCAGATTTTGCATTCTCCAATGTTAATAAATCAACCCCAATGCCTTTGAAAAGGCTACAGGAGCTAGTTGTAAGCAACTTTGTAGGCTTCTTGAAAAAAAAATGATGTGTTTTTAAATGCACAAAATATAATTGGTAATAATATTTGCCTTACACCAAATAACATTGGAGAACGTTGAGTCCGGAAGCAGCCATTTTTCTCACGGAGTAGCCATCTTTTTCAGGAAAGAATGTTTCCTACTGGAACAAATTGGACCTTTCTCTAGATCAGGGGTGTCAAACTCAATTTCATCAAGGGCCACATCAGCATTATGGTTATCCTCAAAGGGCCAGTTGTACCTATAAGACTAGATGTCCAAAGCTCCCCCACCCCTTTTTACATCAGATGTGAAGAGCCCCCCACCATCAGAAGTCAAGAATTTCCCACCTTCCCTTGCATTGCACTGCATCCCCCTTACCTTGCGCTGATTTCAGGAAGAATCTGGGGGCGGCTCTGGGAAGCTGAAAGTGCAGGGGCAGGAGGAGGACCAGAGGAGGGCTGAAGTCAGTTGCCGGAGTCTGCTGAATGCGTAGATGAGGGGGTGCTGTGGCTGCACAGAGAGGCACGGGATCTGTCGGAGGAGTTCTGTCCTTCTCTCTGCTGCTGAGATAAGGGGGACCAAGATGTGCTTCTCTCTGTGGCTGCACAGAGAAGCACAAGATCTGGCAGAGGATTTCTGTTCTCCTCAGAGCTGAGACAATGTCAGGGCAGAGACGAGAGGAGGGCCTCAGCTGCAGGAGAGGTGCAAGGGCCTCATGAATTGCCTAGATTTGACCCACGTGACTTGTGATTGACACATGTGCTCTAGAAAAACTGTGGGTTTAGGGTTCTGAGGGTGCAGGTTTTTCATTTACCTATTATCTTTTGGATAGACATGGGCCTTTTCCCAACCTAGCTTACAATCAATCAGAATTCTGGTTAAGTCAGACCTGTACAAAATGAATCAAACTTACTAATACGAACTAGGAGTTTTCAAGATCTCATTATACTTTAACATAGAAAGTTCACCATTAATTATTTGTATTCACATAAAGGAATACAAAGGCATATTTCTTTGTCATGTAAAAACATTACTAGATCATGGTGTATATCAGTGTCTCTTTGTACATCTGTGTTCATACATTTCATAGTACATCCCTTCCAGCAATCATACCAACATCTGTAACATGGAACAGCATTCATTATGCATTACATTGTATATGATACAATGTTTAGATCTTTTTATGTCCAAAAAAATGCTTTGTATTTGTACATTTGTTGCTGGAGGGTGATGGACTACTTGAATCAATGCATTTCATGAAACCTTTGCTTCATCGGGATATGCAGTCCAAATAATTTGCTTAGCTAATCATAAACATGTTTGATTGCAATCGCATTCCTTAAAAACAGAAAAACGTTCCCCCTTTTTCCAAATCACCACCGCACTCCAAAAGCCCTGTCACTGGCCCAGATCCTGGTGGGGTGCTTGTCCTGGTGGTGGTGAATGAGTACAGGGAGCCCTGAGAGGCTTGAAGAGAAGATTTGAGTCATTTTTCATTTAAATAAGAGCCTTTTTGATGTATATACTGCACACACAAGCTGCAACACTTGTCTCAAAAACATAATCTGTATGGAAAAGCATATGCAAAAGAAACACACAGCAACAGAGAACAAAGTGCAGTGGATAAAAGCAAAACCAATGTGCAATGTAGAGTGCTGGGGTCAGGAGTATGTAACCTACTATGTAGGAATCAGTAGTATGTAATAAACTGAGTGAAAAAGTCAGGAACAGGGGCGGACTGACAACTCATGGGGCCCACGGGCAATAAGGGATCATGGGGCCCCTGTGTCTTTACCCAAACTTAAAAAATCCTATGAAAAAGGTACCAGGGGCATCTCATGTGGCCCCCTACTGACCCCGGGCCCTCGGGCAGTGCCTGAGTTTCCAAATGGTCAGTCCGCCCCTGGTCAGGAATATGTTATGTACAGAGTGCAGGTGTCAGGAGTTTGTAACATACAGAGTGCAGGTTTCAGGATTGTGTTATGTAGAGTGAAGGGGTCAGAAGTGTGTTATGTACTGTGTGCAGGGATCAGAGTATATACAGGACTGCACCACAGATAAAAAAAAATATAAAAAAGGAAAGGGACCTATCCTCAAGCGGAAGCAAAAAAAAATAACAATAATGAAGTCCCACATGCAATGTGTAAGCATATAAATCTCATATGATAATAATCCAATGATATGTAATATCTATATAGAACCAAAGATGTGTATATACTGTATATCCCACGTGTTTGTAATGTGCACCATTATCACTAAAACTTACACTCACTGGCCACTTTATTAGGTCCACCTGTTCAATTGCTTGGTAACACAAATTGCTAATCAGCCAATCACATGGCAGCAACGCAATGCATTTAGGCATCTAGACGTGGTGAAGACAACTTGCTGAAGTTCAAACCGAGCATCAGAATGGGGAAGAAAGGGGATTTATGTGACTTTGAACGTGGCATGGTTGTTGGTTCCAGACAAGCTGGTCTGAGTATTTCAAAAACTGCTGATCTACTGGGATTTTCACGCACAGCCATCTCCAGAGTTTACAGAGAATGGTCCGAGAAGGAGAAAATATCCAGTGAGCAGCAGCTGTGTAGACAAAAGTGCCTTGTTGATGTCAGAGATCAGAGGAGAATGGGCAGACTGGTTGGAGATGATGGAATGGCAACAGTAACTCAAATAACCACTCGTTACAACCAAGGTAAGCAGAATACCATCTCTGAATGCACAACACATCGAACCATGAAGCAGATGGGCTACAGAAGAAGAAGACCATACCAGGTGCCTGTGCCCCATCTTCTGATGGCTACTTCCAGCAGGATAATGCACCATGCCTCAAAGCTCAAATCATCTCAAACTGGTTTCTTGAACATGACAAGGAGTTCACTGTACTCCAATGGCCTCCACAGTCACCAGATCTCAATCGAATAGAGCACATTTGGGATGTGGTGGAACGGGAGATTTGCATCATGGATGTTCAGCCAACAAATCTGCAGCAACTGCGTGATGCTATCATGTCAATATGGACCAGAATCTCTGAGGAATATTTCCAATACCTTGTTGGATCTATGCCATAAAGAATAAAGGCAGTTCTGAAGGCAAAAGGGGTCCAACCTGGTACTAGCAAGGTGTACCTAATAAAGTGGCCAGTGAGTATATAGTCCACCATGAAATACATGAATCTATATTTGATCAAATCTTCTTAGTGTTCATCACTTTTGTGCTCTTCCACCACTAAAAATACCAAATAAACTCACAAGAGCTCCATGATGGTAAAATCATAAACCAGCTTATAGCGTGTGACACTCTGGGAGTAACAACCTGCAATCTCACAATCCTTCTCTCAAGAGATCTCTCAGAAAAGATAATTCACTATAGCTAAATAAATCACATAGAGGAGGAAGAAAGAAGAGGGGAGATCCCATAGCATAAAAGCATGTAAGAACTTTTTATTGCATAAAAACTTTTATTAAACTCACATTTACATGTGTTGCCACTGACACAAGTATACAGGCACAGTCATCAAATGGTTGTCTCCAAACCTCAAGCACAGACCCAGCCATGCATGGTGACATCACATCCAAGCCCTGCTCTACGCGTTTCGTCATTCGACGTCCTCCAGGGGTGAAAGGTAGGGCAGTCAGAGTATGTAACTTGCAGGGGTCAGGAGTATGTGATGTACAGAGTGC